GTTGATCACTTTCCATCCATCAAGGTCCTGAGAAAGGTCATCCAACTAAAAAGACTAATGTTGTCTCCATTCCATGCCCATATCCAAACTCTAATTGAAAAAGTTCCAGATAATCCACTTTCTCTAGATTCTCTCTGGCTGTATCCCATTGTGCTCTTTACAACATTCCCAGAAAGGGAAGGCTGGAGACTGGACAGTGGTTGTCAAACACTTCTGGATCCAGGGAGGTTCTGTTAAGGAGAGGGGTTAATAATCTCCCAGAGCCAGGTCATCATACACTCACCCAGTCCTACATTGGAGCCAGGAAGAGCGTAGAACAAGCCTTCAAGTGGCTGAGGTGATACCAAAGAGCACCCTCTCCACTTCCTCAAAGTCCAGAGGCCAAAAGGAGTCCCAGATAAGAGAGCTGTGCAGTGCTCCAGTCATTATATCAGACTGTTCATCAGAGTCAAAATCATGGTAAATCTGAGTGCCTTTGTTGGGAAAGTGCTGTGCAAAATGGCTACAGTGCCCAGGCAGGAGATCTCCCTCTTTATTTTTCTCTAAAAGGGAATGTACTAGCGTAAATAAGGCCACCAGCCAACAACCTGCCAGCAAGTAGGATCCCAATATAAATTACCACATGAATATGCTTAGTCTGTAAAACTTCATGTACATAGACACTTGTATATTTTACCATTGTTCAACTTGGATAAAAGCGGAATAGTTTTCAGTGAAAAAGAAAGGAAATAACAATAACGGATGTGAATTATAATTGCTTTAGGATCCTCCAAGAAGAAACCATTAAGATAATACTGGATCTTCACCAGATGTTTTCATGCTTGGCTTGTAAAAGGAGGGGAGACTTGAGAGATTCCTGGTCCAACTGTGCCATTTTCCAGCACTAGGTCTCACTCCCATAAAATTTCTCAGTAAAAAAGGTGTAACTAGCATTGGGTGATTTCTTTGCCTAAGTGTAACAGTAACTAGCATAAGTTAAATTTCATTCTTGCACAAACACATAGTTACACAGATGATGCAAATACTACATGTACTTTTGCTCAGGGATTTTTCTAGTATTGGGGACCAACAGCAGCCCATCAAATTTCAGTCTGCACTTTGCCAGGGAAGTTAGTGTGTATCTGCGTGCTGATACCCAATAATCAATTTAGTACTCTTTGGTTTCAAATCTTCATGGAAACATAATGTAGTTCTTCAGTTTTCCCTGTCTCTGGCCTCCAGTTCTTGCTAAACAAGCATTATGCATAATGCCAGAGATGAACATAAGATACAAAACAGATAACAACTTTATAATAAAATACTTAAATGTGGTAGTATTGTATTTATAACATATTACATAATTTATCTAATAAACTTTTTATATCTGCAATGGGTTGTAGGGTGAATTTCCTTTTGTATCACTGCAATTAGTTTTTAAAGAATACTTTCTTTTTAAAATACCTCTGAATTAAAAAAGGATAATTTTTCTATTTTTCAAATTTTGCTCAGCATCTTGTGCCTGTCTGCATGAAACATTGGCTGTCATTGTCCATATTAAGTCTGTATGACTTAAAAACTGGTGCTAATTAAAACCATGTTAGTAAGACTATTTTTAAAGTTTACAAAAGGATTTCTTCTTCTGTTTCTGTTTCTCAGTGACAGCTGAGATCCTTTCTATATGATTTCAATTCCATTTTTAAGGACTAAGAATGATAACTTTGGGCTTTCTGTGCAATTAGTTCAATGTATACGTTTTCGCCCTGTGTACCTAAATTATATACATATTAAGAATGCTAATATCAGCCATTCTAAGAAAAATCTCAGACTTTTTTATTTTCAAATGAAGATTTAACTTGGAAAATTAATAACAACAAAAACTACATTTTCAGTATTTACTGAAGCAATGGATATCTACTGATGCAATATACGTATGAATCTCAGCTCTTCCATGCTTACAAAAGGACTTTTATTTTACCAGAAGAAAACTTCAATCAATATTTCAGCTTAACTGTATTATGCAGTCAATAACAATATTTTTAAAAACAGTTTTGAGTTTAAAATAATTTTCTATTATATGCACTAACTAGCATTTGGATGCTGTTTACCTTTAAAAGAAATGTGATGATGTGCGAAGTGATACTAAATTTAAATTTAAAAAAATAGATTGTGTAGCTGCAGGGAACATAAATCATAATGTGCAATTTTATCGAATCTGTTATTGCAAGTTTCTTGTGTCAGTTGATGAAAAACTTAAACGCTTGCACCACCTGGGATTAACTTTGATTAATCTCTAAAACTATCCCAGTCTGAACTGCATTTTCCTTTGTTACGCAGCACCATTCTCCTCTCAAAATAATAAGGCTGTGGATAGGAAAGTTCTGGTAATCACATCTGGGCCATTAGTCACTGGCTTACATAGTTTCACTTCAGGAACTCGGTGATTCAAATCTGTCTTATGTCTGACATTTAGTCTTGGGCAAGAACCTGATAGAGTTTCACTTTTCAGATATGCTTTCTGCTGTCTGATTGATGTGCTAATGAATTCAGAAATTTATGCTCAGTGAAGTAATACCTTATAAACAGGAGTTAACATAGAACTTTAAAAAAAAAAACATCCTTCATGAGCCCAGTTCTTTTCTTCACTTTGTTTTAATTCCTGTGCTTTCCCTTATTTCTCAAGTGGGATACCAAAGCACCACCCCCTCCTCCCAGATACAGATCCTCTTCTTATCCAGATTCTAATAAAAGAAATCTTCAGGCCATCACTGATGAATGGTTGTCACTGACTCTTGGCTTTTCATCTTCAAGCACACCTTCCCCTCCTCCTCCTCCTCCTCCTCCTCCTCCTTTTCCTAAAAGCTTTCTTTCTGATTTAGAGGACCTTGGCTCTCTGCCTTTAACAGGTTTGGAGAGGACAGTAGGCCTCTCAGATGATGTCACTCCTCAAATAAAGCATGGTGACATTGTTCCAGTTACCTCGCCAGAGGCCTCCCATTCCTCCCCTGACTCTTCACCTCAGCCATTTTCTTCATCTACATGTATATCGCCTCCTCCAGCAACTCGTTTTCATGACCAAGCGCATAAGCTTGAGTGGAACCATTTCAAAGGGATGAAAGAAATTCCCACCATCAAGGAAAAGAAATGCTCCTCAAATCCCTTTCCAGAAGTGCAAAAAATAGCAGGCCATGCTCTTGCCCCCTCCCAAGAAGACCTATTATCCAAAACACTGAGAGAGGTTGGCAAACAGGAGGAACTCTGTGAGGAGCTGCTATCAATAATCCGAGAGGAACAGTCAAAAAGGAAAGATTTAGGTTTCTACAGACGTGCCCCTGATGTGACTGAAGAATTGGCAAGACTTCACATAGAGGAAGAGCCAGACCTTGACAATTTAGAGTCACCAGTGGCAAATAAGAGAGAGCCTAGGATAACTTTTGAAGGCAACGGTTCAGCAGTTACTAAAAAAGAGGTATTTAAACATTGTACAATAAATTTCTGCATTTACATCATTAGTCCATTTTTTTCAATGTGTTTTCGCATGTGGCTTTCTACTATACATTGCAATTTTCAAGAACCGTTTAAGCACACTAACACACAAAATTCCTTCTTTGGTTCTTTCCTTTTGGAGATGGGCTGAAGACTACCCTAATTGCTTCTTAACTGATTTTGAAAACAGCTACTGTATCTACCATTAACTCTGACTTTTACCAGGAATGTAGAACCCTTGGCTGTTTCCAAGAATAACAAGCAGTCCCTAGGTGGATCTTTACATCAAACCAGAAGATGCATTTAATGTCTCATTATGGTGGCATATTTTAATTACATTTTAAACAAAATGCCAGAGGGCCCTATTTGAATAGGAATCATGGCATGCAGAAAGAGAAGAAAGCCTTTTTATAGCTGTGGTATGGAGGATGGGGAGATAAAATTGCATTTACCCCTGAAAATCCTTCACTTTCACTCAGTAGTTGCTGTTTGCCTAGTGTTCATAGCACTTTCCTTCTAGAGATAGATAGCAGCTTCTGATTACTGCTGATTCCTCCCTCTCCTTGTACATTATCCAGATTGAGATCCACCCCCCTTGCTATTTTCTCACATACATGAACATGCAATTATGCATTCAGTGTAGTCTTCCCAAATGTAATGTCTTTAAGGTGCATTGGATGGGGATGATGGGTACCTAGTTCCACACATCTAGCAGATGCCAGGTTGAAGAAGGCTAACAGAGAGCTTTCAAGACATTATTTAGTAATACAATAGTTCATTATGTAGTTCATTTAACTTAAGTCTGAGTGTTCTCCAAAATTCTGACTGAAGTTGCTGCTGCTCTCTCTTATCCGTATACAGAGCCTCAAAATCCCTGGCACTCAAGCATATGTAATGCTGAATTCAGTGAAATGTGAGCCATAAATGGCACTTATTTATTTTACAGTGATGGGTGGTAATCAGTTTACATAATCACTGAGTACAAAGTTCTGTCTGCTTGATAACAAAGAAGAAACATGTAGCACTAAGATAATTTATGTAATTGCAAATTATGTAACACGCTGGCTCCTTTTATTATTTTATTATTCTAAAATAAGCTCTACTTCAGTGCAAGACTCCCGTTTGCAGTGCAGAGAAGTGTGATCCTTCTCTGCTCAGTTACTTCCCTAAATGCCTCTATTAGCTTGCTGAATAAAGCATCATTCATATTGCTTGTTCCAGTCCTATTAAGGATAATTAAGGAAAATGTCCAATCAGCTCTCTAGTTCCCGAGCCATTTTAATAATCCTGGTGTCTCTAGGCAAATTTAATCCGGATGTAGCCAAATGTTTGCTCGCAATCTCATTAAAAAGGTAAGGAGAATATTTAAAATGATAAGAAATAGGAATTATCCACAGTTTAACTAGGATTACCATAATCTAAATTTCCCTGGACATATCTTTTACCCCAGCCGTGCTTCATCCAGCTGGGAAGAAAATTGGTCCTTAAATGTTTGAGGTGGAAGGGTCATAAATGGGCAGTAACAAGCAACACCTAGTACAGTGTTGTCCAAACTTGGCCACTTTAAGATGAGTGGACTTCAACTCCCAGAATTCCCCAGCCACCATGGCTGGCTGGGGGATTCTGGGGGTTGAAGTCCACTCATCTTTAAGTGGCCAAATTTTGGCAACACTGTACTAGGTGTTGCTTTTTACTGTCCCTT